TGTAAGATTTTATTAGAAAACCCTCCTAAAAGCATGAACCACATTTTCAGTAGTAAAATTGTCTCCTTGCATAATTTTTCTCACTCATGTGAAAATTGAGGTAAATACTGTTGGGAGGTTTTTTGATAAAATCTTAAAGTTAAAGGGGGGTTTTCTGATAATCCTTAACTTAAGGGGGGTTTGATGATATTTGAAAGCATGGGGCTTTATCTGATAATTGTCTGAAATCAAGGGCGAGTTTCTGATATTTAGCCTTCTTCTTACTATAAATGTCCGTAATATTTTGGGAAAAATAGATTGGTGCCTGAAAAGGATTACCTTTCCCTATATTTCAATTTTTTAATACAAAAATAGATTGGGGAAAATGTTTGAAGCATTAAAGAAAGCTGTGAAAGTTACATATTAAAAAAAATTCTCTGTATATCATTCCGAAACTTTGTTATCTGACAAATGTTAAAAGGTAGTTTCTCCTGAATGTCTTTTTAAAGTGACTTGGAATAGTTTGAATGGTAACTCTTGATCCTATACTTTGGTGCATGTGTTATAAATCTCTTATATTTGACTATTTGTTTTTTGTAAGGCAACTAATTTGAGTTTTCTGGCTGAGATTAGTGCTTAAGATATGTTACTGTGTTGCTTGCACAACTAATGTATGCATTAGCGGAGGATAATGGATCTGCAAGGATTTATTGAGAAATAGTATGTGACATGGCTTTGATAGCTTGTACATTTCACCTTTTGGACCAGAAAAGTTTCAACATCTTGCTGGGTTGATGTCCTTGCTTTTTAGTTCTCACACTAGAAGGTTTGTTTGTTCACATAGTGCAAATACGCATAGCATGTGTGTGCTCAAATGCACCTGTGCACATCGGTGTATTGACTGAAAGCAAGTTTCTTCCACTTTAATTGACCAAATCACCAGTTCAAGCTTAGGACATGAATTTGTATTTATTTGACTAAAGATAATTGACTCCCTGGAAAACAAACTTAGGTAATCTATGTGTCATAGTTATATATGAATATATATCCGCTGCATATATCAAAGAAGCGGTTATGAATATTTGATAGTCATGCTATAAATGTTTTCTCTTTAGCTGTTTGGTTCCATAATTGTTCTTCAGAGTTCAATGTGATTCCTATTGTAACCCTATCACCTATTGCTTTTTGTCTACTCTTTCATTGTCTCAGAACTTAGATCTTAGCTTCTTCCATTGCATGAACATGAGCTGTTGCCCTTATAGAATTTACATGCTCCAATCAATGGTTAGCCAGAATTAAGGCTCCAATCCGGAGGGTTGATGTTAGGTTGATAGGTATTCTCTAATCTTTAGTGGAGCCTTTTGCTCCACAGCAAACTCCGCTTTGATGAGAGAAGGTTAGGTGATAATAATGGCATAATACTGGAAGAAAATGCGGCTATTCATCGAATATATATCACTGTGACATTCGTATTGTGTCGTATACTGCTTTTATTCTGCGCTTCAAAGTGTTAACCCTTTTTTTCTTATTTCTTCACAGCAAGTTCTACAGTGATCTTATCATGTTGGCCTCTTCTTCAATGGCTATCCGAGAACGAAGTTCTGAAAGGGCCCATTTCGAAATTCTAAATGCAGAACACAGGTCTCTTCATGATCACCTTTTATTTTGAAAAGGACTTAAATATGGTTACATTTTTGCTTAAGTTTGATCCTGGCTACTAATAAATGATTACATGGGAGTTCTTTTCTTCCTTAGGATTTACAATTTGGGTTTTGAGGTTTATACTATTTATAGTATTTCATATGAATGTACATTATTTCTCATTGTTATAAATGATACAATGACCTAAAGAACAAAAAAGCAGGTTTTATGGTACTTGTTGAACTCTTATGACAAATGGGGCCGCCAAATGTGATGTGCAGACTGGTAATCTTGGAAAACACATGATCCAGATGAGGAAACCTCGGTTGGAATCTGGCGTCTAAAATTTCAACTACTTAACAATCTTTCTTACATTTCAATATGCAGTATGCGTTGATTTGTTTCCACTAGGGGTGAGCAATAGGTTTGAGCATTCGGTCAGTCGGTTAGGTTTTTGCCAAATTTTGCAAATTGAGACTGCCGATTCTTGGTAGCAACCAAAACATACTGATCTACTTTGGTTCGGTCAGTGTGGTGTGGCTTATTCGGTCCTCAGAGCACTTTGTGTCTATTGTAGGCTGTATGTTCATACAAATAAAAATCAATTCAAATATCGAGAGATTCTTTGCTCAACAATAATTCATTCTTGAGTTAAAAAAGTACAAATAAATCGTCATTCATGCCTGACAATAACAAATTTTGCTCAATGCACCTGGTGAACATATGAAGATGTTTCTCATTGGACAAGATTTGTGAGAGAATTAAAAATTTGATTCTATGAAAGAACAACAAAAAACTGAGGTTATCTTGCAAGCAAGCAAAAACATTGGGAAGAACCTCTGTATTTGTATTGGCAAAGATAAATATGCATAACAGCAAGAATAATTGATTGAAATAACATATTCATTAGAAAAGATTTGTTTAAAAAGGAAAGAAAAAAATTAGACTTTGGAGTTGGAGATGAGTTCTGTGCAAAATAATGCACAGGGGAGAGAGGTTAGGGTTCAGTTCTTGTGCAAAAGGAAGCTTAGTGGGTAGATGAAGGGACTCTCCTCAATAATAGGATATTAGAATTGCAATTATTTCACGTGATCATGGTAGATGTGTATGTGCTTTGAAATCAATTGTGTTTAGATAAGTTAAAAAACCAATAAGCCTAATACTCAATACTAGTGTGTTAACTAAATCGGTCGGGTTGGGCGATTGAGGTTGAAATGATTTCAACTTGACCCGAACTGCTGAAGCATTGTAACCGAGCCGAACTGCCGAAGTTCAGGCAGTTCAGTTGGTTATTGTCGTTTCCACCGAATTATGCTCACCCCTATTTTCCATCAATACTAATTCAAGCCACTTATTGTAATTAAAGTTCCACTTGGATCTTTGTTGATCAGGGTTGAAGTGTATGAAGCCCTATCTCCGCCAAAATTTGACTCTGGTGAATTGATCTTAATCTGAGCCTTCATGACAGCGCCATGAAGGCATCACACAGATACATCATTTTATGGCTTTCTGCTACCCCAAAACTTCAACCCTCTGCGCGCCAGTCAATCTTCTTTTCCTTCACAAATACTTTATACCATTATGCTTCCAAAAATAAGATTCATCCCACTTTCAGCTCTTGAAATGGGAGCTATTGTCTTGTTTTTCAGCACAAGTGTTTTCTCCTGAAATTCTGTCATGTATCCATATTGGATTCTCTTTTCCATTTCTGCAGATTAAGATTTGGTCAAGTATAACCTAAAACCTGCACGAGGGGAACCCCCCCACTCCTCTTCTTTTTCACTCCATACCATAGCATTCAATCCTTAAGTGGAATGATGTTCCTCCAAAATAGCAAATATACTTCTCTCTATTCTAGTACATTTATGTGTGCCACCAACAATCTCTTTAGGATTATCCTTGACATTCAAATGTGTAATTTTTGTTCAAATTCTTCGGTCTCCTACACTTCCTTTTCCAGGTAAATATTGGAGTTTAATACTGTTATGATAATAACCATTAAAACTCGATTTTGTATGTCATTTTCCATCATATAACATATAGAGAATAACAGATTGTAAGCAAGAATTATATCATGTTTGACCTTGTTCAGAGGAGCACACCATTTCCACCATTGTAGTAATATATTATATATTAAAATCTAGATCAGGCCACTGACCGTCATTAATATAATGAAATGTTTCCTGAATGGCTTCTTCCACTAATATATGTGATGGTTTCTGATCGGCTGCGTCCCTTTGTCAACCTTGCGTTATAAATATATGCTTTACTGAAAAAGTGCAAAACATGCGTCTTGGCACTTAGCCGAAAATATGATTATCATGTTATTACCTTTTATCTAATCCACCCTGTTCCTTCCTTTTTCGCATGGGCTTAACATCATATAATGCATCAAGAATGTGTGTTTTAGAGTTCTTTTCTCCAATTTGTTTTGTTCTTCCTGACACCTCATTTAATTTTTATTCTTTTTCAGTGCGGTCATTATGAATAATGCAAATTCTGCCTTACATATTGATGCTGTTATTGATCCATTAAGTCCTGCCGGACAAAAGCTTTCCCCACTTCTTCGTGTACTATGGAAGTGCATTCAACCAAGCATGAGAATCATACTTAATCCAATAGTAAGTCCTTGATTGGGTATTATTGCTATTGTCTTATACGTGTTTAGGTGATACATCCAGTTAAAGATGACTATCATTTAAGTCAGTGGTGAACTCAACTGTCCTTTCATATGATAGCATACTTAATTTTTTAATGTTACTTTACAACATGGCTTTCAGTTTTCTGAGTGGACAAAGATGCCTTTATAGACAGTAGTGCGTTACTTTGTTTCGAGACAGTGGGGATTTATGTGGATTAGTGGTTGGTAGTTGCTTAGGTCAACCTTCCAAGATGAGAATATTACTGATGGCATATAAATGATACTCCGTTTCCTTTTTACTTGGATTAGCCTTTCATCTTTCTTCATGAAGTGGTATTCAAGAGGGTGATGGGCACAGAATCATTTTATTCATCTGGTAAAATTATTCTGGAGTATTATGTGACTTTGGGATGCCCTACAGCTCTTGGTGAAGTTTTCATTGCAGCTGTAAACCTTCCTGTTATTCTGTGTTAGAATGTTGTAAGTATAAAAAAATGACAGTTGTGAAAGTTGAAGTCTTGGTGAGAATGTTGGGATGTGAGAATGGCTAATAAAAGATAAAAGAAGTAATTTGCAGCATAGGACATTAGGTGGAACATAAAATAAGCTGATTAAGATAAGATGGTGGCAGTCTTTCAAGGTTATGCGGGCATGCTCAATCTAGACCAACAAATATCGAGTGTGTCAGGTGGTGATGGTGGTAGTGATAGTAGGATTTCTGTTAAACCACAACAACCTTTGCACACTAATCACATATTTGACAACATATTGTCCTTATTAAATCATTATTGTCTGTCCAAGTACTCTATGCTCCATGTGGTTGTCAGTCTCCCTCCTCCAGCTCCACTGCATCTCTTGTCATGCTTCCTGCAGCCTCTCTTGTTGATCTCCTTCTTGAAAATGCAGGAACTATAGAAAACACAGTGGACTATATTTATAGATGATCCACAAGGTTCTTTTTAGCTAAGACACAACGCTCATCTTGACTTCCGCTGAGGATTCGACCCAGCCACAGGCTCCTCTAAGGCTACCTTGTTACAACTTCACCCCAGTCACAGACCCCACCTTGGTAATAAGACCACCAAAAGCCTTTGTAGTTCTAGCTACCAGAGGTGTAAGATATGTGGATGAAAAAGCGCTGAATGGACCATCCTGGTCAAAATTCAGGGTTTTACACTTTGGATTTGGAACTTGGAAGATATTTTTGATCTTATACTGCTTCTTATGAGCACTACTTATTATCAGCTACTGTAGCGTGAAGATTTCATATCCTCAACATGCAGAACCTAATCATGATTTTTATCTTGAAAATGGAGGAAATATAAGAAATACAGTGTACCATATTGTTAGATCCACACGTCTTTTTGCTAAGACACAACACTTGTCGTGATTTTTAATTGTTATAAGGTATGTGGATGAAAGAAAAAATCACATAATGGACTACCCCATCAAAATCTTGGGTGTTACACTTTGGAATTAGCCTTTTTTCCCAGGTTTTCTTGCTGACTGAGCTGCTTTACATGAATTTGGCAGGGTTTTTTTGTTTTTATTGTATACTACATCCTATGAGCAGTTGAGCACTGTGTATTCTTGGCTACTGTAGTGGGAACATTTCATATCTTCAACATGCAGAACCCAATCTACCCTATGCAATCATACGATAGACTTTCCTAATAGAAAGTTCTTGTGTCGTGATCAGGATTAAAGAACTGATAGATATTTTTTAGAATAAATCGTGAGTCTACACTTTGTCAGCACTACCTTATTTACTCTGTACTAATGTAGTTTACATAAGATTTTATTTATTCTAGCTTCTACATAGAATGTCCAATATGTAAGGCTTTTTATTTGCCACTTGTGCTTCCATTAACTGATATTCTTATATTTCATTCTTGTTTCTCTGACAAAAGTGTATTTCCAATTCTGTACTTAAGTTATACTTCATTCTGCTTTATTGTATATGATTTTCCTATTTAATTATTGTAGTAACTTTATATTTTATTGTTGCAGAGTTCTCTTGCTGACCTTCCATTGAAAAACTTCTACCGATATGTTGTGCCGTCAGTGGTATTGCTAATGCTCTAGTTATTTTATACTTTGTGTTCGGATTTATTATCTTTTTCTGGTATTCTAATACTTTTTGTGTAACATGTAGGATGATTTTAGTGCTGTTGATTATTCTGTAAATGGCCCTAAAGCTTTCTTTTCAAATATGCCACTGTCCAAAACTCTTACAATGAATCTTGATGTGCCCGAGCCTTGGCTTGTTGAACCAACTGTCGCTATGTACGTGCTGCTATACTCGCATATCAATATTTGTTTTTATGTTATTTGTATGCGTGCAAGCATGTGCATATTGAATGCAGTAATAAGCCATGCAATTCTTTGCACTGGCTCTCTCCCTCCCTCCCTCTCTCTCTCATTGATAAAACTCCTTATTTATAAGGAAGATACAACTACCTCAATCAGCTGCAGTAAAATCCTCAACTATGTTGTACTTGATTTTGATTTTGATTTGATTTTATTTTCTTTTTCTTTTTCCTTTTCTGTTTTCCAGCCATGATCTCGACAACATCCTGCTTGAGAACCTTGGTGATGTAAGTACTTTGCAAGCAGTTTTTGAACTTGAGGCACTTCTCTTGACAGGTGAATATTTATTTCCTTATGTGTTTTGTCTCCTTCTCTGGGTTCAATTAGTTTATAGCTTTTTTCCTTTCCACACCACTGACAGGCCATTGCTCTGAGAAAAATCATGACCCGCCTCGAGGACTTCAGCTGTTTCTTGGTACGAAGCAAATGCCACATGTAGTAGATACACTGGTTATGGCTAATTTGGGTTACTGGCAAATGAAGGTTTCCCCTGGAGTATGGTACCTTCAGCTTGCTCCTGGCAGAAGTGCTGATCTTTATGTGCTAAAAGAAAGTGAAGATGAGAGTTTGTCTTCGAAACGCATTACAATAAATGATCTAAGGGGTAAAGTCCTACACATAGAAGTGGCAAAGAAAAGGGGCAAGGAACATGAAGAATTACTCATTGCTTCTGATGACAACAAGGTCAATGAAAGGAAGACAGTATGTGGTTCTATGAAGTTTATAATTAACTCTCTTGTGTTAGTAAGTTCATAGTTCAAGAGAAGTGGTGCAATGCCAAAACTATGTGACTTATATTCTATCATAATATATTTGCAGGATGATCGCCATAGTTGGAATGCTAATTTGTTGAAGTGGGCATCTGGCTTCATTGGTGGAAATGGGAAGAAATCGTTGGTAACTCTCTAAAATTTTCTTTTCTTTTCCCTCAATATTTGAGATTTAGAGTCGGCTCTGGGTTAATTGAGTTTGAAGCATGAGTCTCAGATATGCCTTGTTGTGTTTGATTGTTATGATGAACTGATTATATAGTATATGAACAGGCTCTATATGAACTGGTTGTATGCTATATGAGTCAGCTATACAAAAACATGATGACATAAGTTTATCTAAAGCTCAACACATTCATATATATAGTGTTAGTCTGGTTGATACTTTTATCCTATTATGCTTTAAGGTTTTTGGGTTTTGATTTCCAATATTAGATGTTCTATGTGTTTAACATCTGTAATACTTAAAGACGCTGACTCTTTATGTCACACCTGAAACTGGAAGCAGGGATGCTGTTGTAGTTCTTATTTCCCAGCTACAGTTAATCATGTGAACGTAAATGTCCTTCTGTCGATCTATATATTTATCTATCTATGCACTCTTCAAATCTAGAAGTAACTTATTGCACTATAATTGAAGTTTGTTATTCATATATTCTGGCAGTTTGCATACAGATCAGCACTGCTTCATTATTCTTTGGTAAATCTATTCGTTATGCTATTTTTATTAATATCCTCAACCATATACGTAGGGCCACAAGAAGACTGAAAGACATGGAGAAACAATAAACGTATTTTCAGTTGCTTCTGGGCATTTGTAAGTAAATGATATTTCCTTGTTTCTTTCTGGATTTTTCTTTGTTCTTTTCTTTAAAACATTTTAAATACTTTTCACATTCTTTGTATAGACCTCTCACCCACTGTTTTAGTATTAACAATCTGAAAATTTCCGGAGTCCATCAAATAAGTTATTTTAAGTGCGTTAGACTGACATCTGATTGGGGAACAATTGCTGACATGTCCTCCCATTTAATTCCATTAGCAGTTTTTGGTAAAGGTGTCCTCTGATCATCTGCTGATGGAGTTCTTTTTTTTTTGAAGTTAGACATCAGAAAATGGAGTTATCATAGAATTCTTGCTTGTTTTTATTATTGTAAAATACAATATTTTGGTGTTTATTCTCTGATTAAAATTTGTGTTTTTACCAGGTATGAGCGTTTCCTTAAGATCATGATACTAAGTGTTCTTAAGAACACCCAAAGACCGGTGAAATTTTGGTTCATCAAGAACTATCTGTCTCCTCAGTTCAAGGTCTGTTCCTTTTACTATTTCCACGCGAAGATAGCATGCATCACTTGTAATACCTTGAAATGTGTTGTGCAGGATTTCATACCTCACATGGCAGATGAGTATGGATTTGAGTATGAGTTAATCACCTACAAGTGGCCTACGTGGTTGCACAAACAGAAAGAGAAGCAGCGAATCATCTGGGCTTATAAAATCTTTTTCTGAGCTTTATTTCCCTCTTTCCCTTAGCGAAGCGGCTACCTACTTGTTATCAAATGCTTACGTTAGTTGTGCATCATTGTTCTTATAACACTGCTTATTTTTCAAAGAACAAGAAGACTTACCGGGTAAATTTTTCAAAACCACCATGGACTAATAGGGGTTCTGTAGTAAAATATCCTAAGCCATTTTTATTAGAGAAAATGATCAAATCCTTAAATCAGCAGAACCCGTCTGTTTGGAAACTTCAAAATAGAACCGGGCCTGGACTGCTTTTTTTTTTTCTTAACCAGGCCAGGGTTGGTCCTATAAGGGTTGATCAATAAAAGAACTAGTTTAGGGGCTAGATTTTGAACTAGAAAGAACTAGTTCAACTTGAGCCCAACTTTTGGCAAACTGGAAACAAGGTTTTGGACTAAGGTTGAACCACCTAAAACAAGTTTTTTGGAGTTGCCACACGCACAATGGTTTAAGAACGGTCATGGTAAAAGAACCCAATATCATCTATTATAATTTTCAACCTTCAACTGAAATTTTTAATTTAAATGGGATAAAAAAATTGTTGAAATATATTTGCGTGCTAGTCACATGATAACTTATTCTCACAGTGGTTAGGTATAGCAGTTAAGTGAAAAGTTTTGTGGTGGCGTTATTTAATTAAATTCGGATGATTCAATGAAACATCCTGATAGACGAGTTCTTGGTAGATTTTTGGAATATACTCAAACTTTAATGGTATTTGCATGCAGGTGATATTTGTTGATGCAGATCAAGTTGTAAGAGCAGACATGGGAGAGCTTTATGACATGGATATAAAAGGCAGGCCCCTTGCGTACACACCGTTTTGTGACAACAACAAGGAAATGGATGGTTATCGCTTCTGGAGACAAGTTAGTCACCTTCCTCATCAGTTTTCCCAAATTTTCTATCAGCAATATCTTGGAAACCTTTTTATTATTGTGGTCCTTAGTTAATACGTCTGATTGCTTTCACTATGGTCTTTTTTTTTAATTACTGTAAAGGGCTTTTGGAAGGACCATTTGCGAGGAAGACCGTATCATATCAGGTAGTCAGCTATTCTGTGTAGTTTTCTTATGCCAGTTGATTTCAAATCCATAATATAATCCCTGGACTTTGTGATTTCCACCAGTGCTTTATATGTTGTTGATTTGGTAAAGTTCCGGCAAACAGCAGCTGGAGACACATTAAGGGTGTTTTATGAAACCCTTAGCAAGGATCCCAACAGTCTCTCCAACCTTGATCAGGTATAATGCGTTTCGTATCGTATTTCTTATTTTTTTCATTTCTTATTTTTATGCAATTTCACGTGTCGATCCTGTTGATATTTTCATAATGCTCATTTGATTATTCTGCTTTCATGCCTTCAGGATCTCCCGAACTACGCCCAACACACCGTTCCAATATACTCCCTCCCTCAAGAATGGCTATGGTGCGAATCTTGGTGTGGTAATGCAACAAAATCCAAGGCAAAGACTATTGATCTATGTAACAATCCCATGACGAAAGAGCCCAAACTTCAGGTAAATACTTTTGAACCACAAGATTCTAGTTCCAATATCCCCTCATTTAATTGTTCCCTGAAAAATTTTCCTTTTCTCTTTTCTTTAGGGTGCTAAAAGAATAATTCCGGAGTGGGTTGATCTCGATAAGGAGGCAAGGAGAGTTACTTCAGTGATATCTGGAGAACAGAAGGACCTCACACAAGCACCTCCACTGAGCCCACAGCCAGATAGTTCAACAAGCAAGGGTGAAGAGAGAGATTTAGAATCTTTGGCAGAATTGTGATCATGGGGAAAAAATATATATATATATATATAATCTTGCAAGTTCTTATAGATTTATTCGAAGGCTCAGTCAGAGAGCCAAAGTGCCAACATTTTAGTGAGGCAGAGTTTCTCATAGAAATTGTAGTATAGAGTTCAGTTGGCCAATACGATTATACCCTTGTCATCATGTCATAAGCGAAGAAGATACATTTGTAAAATTATTTATATGAGCCTACGAAGTGGCTAATTTTGATTTTTTTTTTGGGAAAGAAAATAATAGCATGTCAAAACAAGGATAAAGTTTCTCTAATTGCTTATATCGTGTATAAGTAACGCGTATATTCCTCTCCTTTTGCGTCTCCAATCTAATAATAGCAGCTTGTTACTCGTGTTGGGATCAAACAGAAGTCGCTAGTTTGAAGATGTCGCAGCTTGTATTGTTTGTTATTGAGTTTCTTCTTGTCTAATTTGTGCATTAAAAAAAAAACAGCACTGATTTTGGGACGAAGTACTTCTCAAAAAGTAAAATAAAGTTTGTGTAACGTGTCATTATCATATAATGCATGTTTCGACGATCTGTGTACTGAACTGTACAGGTTTTACAGATGTTTGTCATAAACTTTGAACTGTAAAAAAGGGTATAGAAGCAAAAACCAAGGGTTGGGAAACACATTTAATATCATGAACGGGGACTCTCAAATACTTTGTCCGAATAATTTAATATCATGAATTAAGTCCCCTGAATACTTTACATCAGAGCAATAATAACATTTCATCTCTTTTAGTTTTTTGACAGATTGCAGGTCTAACTCCAAAACTACCAAAACATACTACCAAAAGAGCTTGGTGAAGAATATTCATGAGACACCGAACGCCCAATTACTCTAGGGTTGATGAGTAGCTCGAATAACTCTAAAACTACCAAAACATTTAATATCATGAACCGGGATCTCCGCTTTTAATGCCATTCTAAACCTCCCAGCGTTGTCGATCCCATCCCTTCCCACACATCGTTGCACCCCACTTCTTCGCTGTCGACGCCTTCCCGATCCTCGTCCCACCATCCACGTCCGTTTTCATCTGAAATCGTGAAACCCTCATCGTCGGCAAATAACAAAGACGAGAGACGAGCAGAACGGACAACAACAGCAGACACGTTTCGACGATTTTTTTGGGCTGCGCCAACGACAAATTCGACAGAGAGGAGGAGCTTACAGTGGTTATAGAAGGGTTTGGGTCTTTCATGAGGAAGCCTTTTCGCTCTCGTCCTTGGTTTTGGCTTCGGCTTCGGATCGTCTCCCAGGACAACCAAATACTTCTTCTCTTGAGGTTTCTCATCCTCGCCTGAAAACTACCTCACATGTTACTCTTCATATAGACAGGCGTAAACCAACTATGCATGCTTGAGGGAAAACAACAATTATCATCCAAAATAAGTCAACAACAAAAAAAAAAATTCCACTTTGAAGTGCATGTAAATAACGTGGGGTTTAAATGTCATGGCGGTTTCCCGTATCTACTCTTCTATACAAATGTGAGAACCTAAGTTTGACTATTTATCAGGGGCGCCGCTGAGGCGGTTCTGCCGGTTCCGCAGAACAGGGCCCCCAACTTTGGGGGGCCCCCTAATTGCACGATTTCTTTTTTCCTTTTCTTCGATTTTTCGCCGAATCTAGCGTAGGTCGGAGCGGCTTCGCGCAGCTTAGGTCGCCGCCTCCTCCTCTTCCATCACCGTCCAAGAAAACTCCAAGCTCATAAATATCTTGCTCCTCTCTTACCCCCAGCCCTCAATTTATTCTTCGCTCTTATCCAACCAACAACAGCGACAAGAAAACGAAAAAGACGAATGAATCAAACTCGATCGCCTCTCCAGGGATCGCGAGCCCTCGCTCATGTTCCACAGGAAATCCTTGAGTGGAGCTGATTCTTCTGCCCATTTCCTATCTTTCTCTCGATGTGGGTTTCTCCTTCTCTATGAAATAATAATTAATTTTTGAATTTTTTTTTGGAGAAACCGATTTCTCTTCTTTTTCTTTCCTTTTTTTAAATGAAGATTACTCTCTTAGAGTTGCCAAGGTTAAGAAGACTGAATTTGATGACACCAGGTATGCAACAACGCCTCTGCTTTTTTTTTAATTTGTTAATTATCTTTTTCAGTTGTTTGGAGGTCTTGTCTTGTAAAAAATTGTGAATAATGCGGAGTGAAGTTTAGAATCAACAACGAGAACAGACCCTCGCTCCTGAACTACTTGGGTTCTCATGATCTTAAGTGTTATTCGAATCCAATTTTGTTGGGAACCTTGGATAATCCAGGAGGTGAAATGTTATGTTCAAAGGAATTTTTGGACTAAAAAATAATTTTATATTTGACAGAATTTTTGTCAGTTCTGAGGATTATCCCAGCGCAATCTTCTTAAATGAGAAAAATGAGACTTAAATTCAAGTTCAATGTGTGCACTTCCAAGTTGAAATTGTCACTAGGTAAGATGATTAGTTGAAATTGTTGAAATTGTTCTTGATTTCTATCTAATTTAGAATCTTGCAATAAAATCAAATGAAAGAAGAATTTTAAAAGAGATGAATTTTAAAAGAGATGATTAGTGGTAAGCTCGTTATCTTGTTATTTGTAGTTAATTCAATTTTATCAGAAAATGCTTAAACATTTTGACTAAATAGCTTTTTAGTTGATGGGGGTAGTATTAAATTACTTTTTAACCTAGTATTATAAAATTAAATCAATGTCGGGTCGATTGAATTTGATTATGGTTAACCTTTATCAAATTAAATCATTTTTTTACTATCAATATTTTTCACATAATATGTTTTGCATAGAACCATTGTTATATCTTAATGTTTATTTTAATTCTAGATATAAAAATTTCTTTCCATGGTTAGTACTACGTATAAAAACAATTATTTGTTTCTTCTAAAAATTGATTAAGAGGCCCCAATTGAAATTTAGAACCGGGCCCCCAAATTGTCAGCCACGCCTCTGCTATTTATGCTACAGTAGCAAACATGAAACTGGGCGCTGTGATCTTTTTCCGAAAAATATTAATGTCGTACGAGGGAAAACCGTACGAGAGCTGAGATAATGTAGCAATTCAAAAAATACTGTAGTAGTTAAAAACTCAAGATTACTGCAGCAGAAAAAAAGAAATGTCGTGCAATCACATTAGTGTTTTCCAATACCAAATAACATGTTTTCGCTGCTGATTCGAGGGTTTCCAATATTATTTCTCTAACAAAAATAACTTGCAACTCTACGCAAAAACCTAAAAGATTCATGGCAGTTTGTGAAATTTGCCTGGCAATGATCACCATTCTACCGGACAAATTTTCAAAACCGACATGTTTGTCAAAAAATTCCCAAAAAATGACTTATTTCAAAAACAGTTGGCTGAAATTGAGTCGGTTTTTGAAAAAAAAAGTTTCCAAACTTTACAGAAGTTGAAGGACCGTGAAATTTTGTTATATAAAAAACTTCATAGGACTTAAACTCAACTCCAGTGAAGCTTGGGAACTTTTTTTTTCAAAAACCGATCCAATTTCGGCTATCTGGTTTTTTTAAAAAAATTAAATTTAAAATAGGTCTTTTTTTTTTGGGAATAAAATTCAAAACACGTCGGTTTTGAAAATTTGTACTCGGATCAAAAACTGACCTGAAGAAACTCCGACCGCGCTCTTTCTCCTCGCCGAGTCCTTCGCGTCCACATCAGATTGCAATTCTCCCACCTCACCCCCTTCTTTCATCAACGGCTCGTTGAATCTCTTGACCGCCGTCTCTTCCACTCCCCGACTCGTTCTTATCAGACCCAATTGATAAGAACGAGCTCTGCTTTTTCTGCAACTCAAAATTTTCCGCAAGTCATTCGAGGTCCATGAGAAATAAACGTTTTTTTTATTTATTTTACTAAACCCATTCTTTTGTGGGAGATCAACACCTATTATGGGTAATTTTGGGTGCATGAATGATAAAAAACAAATTAGGATAAAACCTGGGACTCATAAATAAATAAATAAATAAATAAAACTAATTATTTATCGGTTAATAGTGGATGCCTTGATAGATTTGGCATTGGTTTTTACGATCTTTCGATTCAAGAAGTCGGAGAGCGAGATCGATTTCTTGGGCGCTTTTGATTCAGTCGCTTCGCTGGGGGATCTATAAATAACAAAAGAAATGGACTTTTTAATTAAAAAAAAAAGAGGGGAGAAGAATGGTACTAAAAATGAAGAGGGCGGATTTGCAAATGAGCACCTTGATTTCGAGGAGATGAAACAAGAAGTTAGAGAAGATTGCCCAAATTGTCTCGCTGTTGGCAGATTCCGCTTCATATTTTTAAAGATTTCTTTTTTCTTTTTCTTTTTTCTCAATATAAAGTTTGGTCCCTTCGGCTTCCAAATTAAATGGGTTTGCAATTTTTTTGGGCGCCAAAAGTAAAACATTTTCGGTCGTTTTCCCGCCATAAATATGGGCCGGGCCAGTTCGACGACGACGCCATCTTCAGCCCACGTTAGAATATTTGTCGAGCTCTCGCTGGAAAAATTAGCGCACGCTTATTTAGGAAAAATTTACAAAATAGACCGATAAGAAATAAACTTCTCTTTGCCAACATTAAGAAATAAACCTCTTTTTCTCGCCTTCTTCAGCGTTATTTTTCGCTTTGATAAATACTTAGCAAAATAGACCTTTTTTTGGCCAACAGGCAAAAAAGAGATCGATTTTGCTAAACAAATCATTCGAAACATACGGGACTAGTAGTCCCGTATGATTTAATGGGGGATTAAATCATACGGGACTACTAGTCCCGTATGTTTCGAATGATTTGTTTAGCAAAATCGATCTCTTTTTTGCCTGTTGGCCAAAAAAAGGTCTATTTTGCTAAGTATTTATCAAAGCGAAAAATAACGCTGAAGAAGGCGAGAAAAAGAGGTTTATTTCTTAATGTTGGCAAAGAGAAGTTTATTTCTTATCGGTCTATTTTGTAAATTTTTCCTAAATAAGCGTGCGCTAATTTTTCCAGCGAGAGCTCGACAAATATTCTAACGTGGGCTGAAGATGGCGTCGTCGTCGAACTGGCCCGGCCCATATTTATGGCGGGAAAACGACCGAAAATGTTTTACTTTTGGCGCCCAAAAAAATTGCAAACCCATTTAATTTGGAAGCCGAAGGGACCAAACTTTATATTGAGAAAAAAGAAAAAGAAAAAAGAAATCTTTAAAAATATGAAGCGGAATCTGCCAACAGCGAGACAATTTGGGCAATCTTCTCTAACTTCTTGTTTCATCTCCTCGAAATCAAGGTGCTCATTTGCAAATCCGCCCTCTTCATTTTTAGTACCATTCTTCTCCCCTCTTTTTTTTTTAATTAAAAAGTCCATTTCTTTTGTTATTTATAGATCCCCCAGCGAAGCGACTGAATCAAAAGCGCCCAAGAAATCGATCTCGCTCTCCGACTTCTTGAATCGAAAGATCGTAAAAACCAATGCCAAATCTATCAAGGCATCCACTATTAACCGATAAATAATTAGTTTTATTTATTTATTTATTTATTTATGAGTCCCAGGTTTTATCCTAATTTGTTTTTTATCATTCATGCACCCAAAATTACCCACCGCCGTCTCTTCCACTCCCCGACTCGTTCTTATCAGACCCAATTGATAAGAACGAGCTCTGCTTTTTCTGCAACTCAAAATTTTCCGCAAGTCATTCGAGGTCCATGAGAAATAAACGTTTTTTTTATTTATTTTACTAAACCCATTCTTTTGTGGGAGATCAACACCTATTATGGGTAATTTTGGGTGCATGAATGATAAAAAACAAATTAGGATAAAACCTGGGACTCATAAATAAATAAATAAATAAATAAAACTAATTATTTATCGGTTAATAGTGGATGCCTTGATAGATTTGGCATTGGTTTTTACGATCTTTCGATTCAAGAAGTCGGAGAGCGAGATCGATTTCTTGGGCGCTTTTGATTCAGTCGCTTCGCTGGGGGATCTATAAATAACAAAAGAAATGGACTTTTTAATTAAAAAAAAAAGAGGGGAGAAGAATGGTACTAAAAATGAAGAGGGCGGATTTGCAAATGAGCACCTTGATTTCGAGGAGATGAAACAAGAAGTTAGAGAAGATTGCCCAAATTGTCTCGCTGTTGGCAGATTCCGCTTCATATTTTTAAAGATTTCTTTTTTCTTTTTCTTTTTTCTCAATATAAAGTTTGGTCCCTTCGGCTTCCAAATTAAATGGGTTTGCAATTTTTTTGGGCGCCAAAAGTAAAACATTTTCGGTCGTTTTCCCGCCATAAATATGGGCCGGGCCAGTTCGACGACGACGCCATCTTCAGCCCACGTTAGAATATTTGTCGAGCTCTCGCTGGAAAAATTAGCGCACGCTTATTTAGGAAAAATTTACAAAATAGACCGATAAGAAATAAACTTCTCTTTGCCAACATTAAGAAATAAACCTCTTTTTCTCGCCTTCTTCAGCGTTATTTTTCGCTTTGATAAATACTTAGCAAAATAGACCTTTTTTTGGCCAACAGGCAAAAAAGAGATCGATTTTGCTAAACAAATCATTCGAAACATACGGGACTAGTAGTCCCGTATGATTTAATCCCCCATTAAATCATACGGGACTACTAGTCCCGTATGTTTCGAATGGTCCGTTTTGCAAAATCGATATCCTTTTGACCTGTTGACCAAAATGAGGTATATTTTGCTAAATATTTAACAAAACGGTCTGTTTTGCTAAATATTTAGCAAAATACGTCTATTTTACAAATTTCTTCGCTTATTTATAATAGCCGAATTACCCTTCGCACCTACTGCTGATAAATTAATTCGGCTATTAATGTCCGAATCATTGTTACTGGTAGAAAAAGCAAGAGATTCAGATTTAAGATTTGACTGAAAACAACAAATTTTTAGAGCTATGTTGTTTCTTACACCGAAGATTTTAGCAGCGTAACAGTTACCCTAAAAATATTTTCTTGTCAAAATTTTGTGTGGATCTAAAAGAGAAGTACCATTATTCGTTGGCTAAAATCAACCACTTGTTGACTACGATGAACTCACGAGTCATTAAAAAGGTACTGTTTTTGCGTCACGGTACTGTTAGCTCACTAACTTAAAAACAAGCATGATACCTGTAGAAAATTGGGAACTATTAATTATGAGCCAATAAAAATGAAACCAGAGCTACTGCACAAAAAAATAAAATAAAATAAAATAAAAATCGTTGACAGGAGGAATGTCATAATCATGCTCACTAAAAAAATTTCGTTGTAACCATGATCATGAGTATTGATCATTAATCTAACGAAACCCGGCTAATTAATTGTCGTCACTAGATTAATGGAACCGTATTGATCATCAACTAGATCCCAAAACGCAACCATACA